CCAGTGAGTAGCAACACCTGAGTACAACACGGAACACGAATCAGTGCCAACCTCATCCAAGATTTTAGATTAGGTTAGGTTAGGGCTGACGGGTTAGGTTCGGGCTGACGGGTTAGGTTAGGGCTGACGGATTAGGTTAGGGCTGACGGGTTAAGTTATGGCAGACGGGTTAAGTATGTCGGGTTAGTGTCTGCTATTATAAGAATATATCTGATAAACATGTTCTGTATCGTCCGATCTCTAGCAACACTAAACTAAAAACCAGACTGTGGTCAGTAAGCATGACACAACCTGAACACCGAAAACCAGTGCAAATATCACATCTTCCTCAAGAACAAATAGTTCACTCTAAAATCCCTTGAGCAATCAACACTGTCCACCACACAGAGACAAGACTCTCTCATCACCATATCAGACCAACACTGAACTTAATATACTCGGTCTATGTAAACTTCATAATATGTTTCATGAGCTACATAATGTGATCTATATATATGTGAATTTATGTGAGCTACATGAACACCCAACAAGAACCTGTCATAATAATACGTAGAACTGAAACTGAAAGGAATCAATTTTTTTTTTAAAGGAGCAGAAAACAAATTTATTACGGACGGACGGATAAAGAAACAAAAGAACAGACAGTATCTTCAAATCTCACTGGGAGGATGAAATGGGTGCGTCTGTAGGCTAATGATTCGTAAGTCTTGGGCTCACTCAGGGCAGTGCGATTCAGTTCTGGTGCCCTTATAGAATGGATATCAATTCACTGGAGTCGGTGCAGCGAAGAATGACAAAAATGATTCCGGGACTTAGAAACCTTCCATATCAAGATAGGTTAAAGAAACTAAAGTTGCATTCCCTAGACAGACGAAGAGTGCGGGGAGACATGATAGAAGTATTTAAGTGGGTGAAAGGAATCAATAAAGGAGATATAGATAAAGTTCTTATAATATCCGAGCAGGATAGGACTCGGAGCAACGGATTTAAGTTGGATAAGTTTAGGTTTAGGAGGGAGATAGGAAGGAACTGGTTCACAAATAGGGTGGTGGACGAGTGGAACAAGCTTAGTAGCTTTGTAGTAAGTGCTGGAACGCTGGAAAGTTTAAAAAGGAGGCTAGATAGATTCATGAATGATAGAGAGTGGTAGTAACTCTCGACAGGAGCAGCTGCCATGCACAGGCCAACCGGCCTATTGCAGACTCCTTATTTTCTTATGTTCTTATGTGACGGGGGTGTCTTGTGGGGGGGGACGACCTGCATGTGTTGTGGCACGTATGGTCTGTCTGCTGTTGCTAAAATGAAGTTTGAATTAATCATGTGAGAAGCAGGAAAACTGACTGAGGCTTTATATCATTAAATGTACACCATCGAGGAAACACCCGTCTCCGTAACAAACCTCCCTGTTATGTGTCAGGTGTTATAGCGGCCCCGGAAGGCGTACACACACACACACACACACACACACACACACACACACACACACACACACACACACACACGCGCACGCACGCGCGCGCGCGCCCACTAAAGCCTTTAAATATGGCGTTGTTCAGACGCCTTATCTAAAAGTCTAAGAAATTCATAAGCAGGTTACCAGATTACTGACAGTTCAATTATTATTCACAGTGATCCGAAAACATACCAACTCTCCTACTGGTACTGTACGTTGACTGCTCGGGAGGTTGAACGCCTCTTCACTACCACAGTTTATGAAGTGAACAGTGTTTGTGTCCAGGTTACTCATCTTAAATGAAGTGAACACTACATAGCCATTTGCTCGCACTCGGTTTCCAGGTTTATTAGTTAATTACTGCTCGCTATCGCTGCCTGTTGGTTCTATTTATCGAGGTGCGATGGAATTATACCTCCTCCTGGACCTTCCCTTTGTCTATCTGAGTTATCTGAGTAACCAATATCATGACCGTGAAACATCGTAGTTGCTGTTTGTATTAACCCAGTTGCGTGATTAAAAAGCAATGCTAATAATAATAATAATAATAATAATAATAATAATAGCAATAATAATATAAATTTAGGTTCAAGACGCCACATATTTGTACTAAAATAACCTAAGGCATAAAAATATTTCTTAGTCACAGGTCGATGCAACATATTTTGATAATTGGTTGTAACTCTCGACAGGAGCTGCCATACACAGGCCAACCTGCCTATTGTAGATTCCTTATGTTCTTATGTTCTTACTAATACATCTAAATAAGGTGAGACTGTGGACAATAAGAACACGATCTGTGGCATCTTGACTTCATCCCTCCACCTCATGGCTGAACACACACACTTAGTTAAAAGAGCAAAGGTGTTGTAGGTAAGACGGAGGAATACGGATATTGGAAGCCCTGGATGTTATGAAAAGTGGTGCTGTTATAGTATACGATCTAACGAGCTGGAGTTGTGTCTGCTGGGATATTTACACTGTAGCATCCATTAACCTAACCTTGGATAAGATGTTAGGTTAAGTTAGGTTAGGCTAAGATATAGTAGATAAAGATAGGTTAGGTCGGGTTAATAGACACCACAGTGTAAATATCCGCTTGGACGGCAACTACCTCGGTAGACCGCATACTATAGTAGCGCCGAAAAGTTAATAGCCCAGTACACTGTAACTCCCATGCCTGGACACCTCAAAAGCTGTAGTCCCAAGTACCACCCTCGCAGCAGGTCCTTCCTAACTGGTGTACCGATGGACTTGATCCAACGGTGACGGCGACAGTTGCACAGTTAAGTTTACTCAACTATCAAGGGCGTCATGTGTTTGAGTTTGTAGCGGCACGTGATAAACTCCACGGGAACAGTCTGCCAAAGTTACCCTCCAGACTTCACTCGGAAATGATTATAGGATGACTATCGCACCTAAAGGCAGTTGCTCTCGCTGTACAGTAGTTCAGAGACTGTAACAGCTGTACCATTAAATTATACCGTAGTGTAATATCCCCCACATAGGAGCTGTCTGGGTACACACGAGCACTTGCTTCTGCCTGAGCTTTAGTTGTTGAGCTCCGAGATACTGTACACTGACAGGTGTTGCGTGTGAGCAGCAGCGGCGCAAGAGAGCTCACTCACCTGACCGGCCTTTCACGGACTAATCAACACGAGGCTGGCTCAAGACAGTAAGACTTTATCACGTATTGGGAGGACTATTTAAATGAACTGTCATGTTGCCGTGTAAATGATCCAGCAGTCAAGAGTGTACACACACCTCAGGCCACCGTCTCTTTACTTGTTTTCTGTCTCGTCTCATCCTGCGTCAGGCTCTACAGTTCCTCAGAAACACTCACATGAGGACACACACACACCACCTTTAATTGCTCACCTGATCCAAGGCTTTACAGGTAATATAATTATTTAACCGTGTTTGTTGACGGTCTGTGAACTTTTGGAGGTTATATTAGGAGTTTAATGTTAGAACGATACTATTTTAGGAAACTGTGTATGCGTGAAAAAAATGTTTCAAGCAAAAAAAAAAATGATGTGAGGGGAATATACCTGGATACCTCCCCAACACAAAGGAATTTTTGTACCTATTTCAATTCAGGAGACTAAAGTTGTCAGGACACTAATTTCAAGACCCACACACCCACTATAAACGTTTTCTATACACAAACACAAGTGTTCCAAAACAGTATCGTGCCAACTTCGAATTCCTGATATGACCCTTAAAATGAATACTGTTTCATCTCTACATGTATACTTAAAAAATATTAAAATTATAAGATTATCTACACAGATACTTCATATAAACCGCTAAAACTTCGTCAGTGTAAAGCAATTAACAGTAACCTGGTCTTGGCAAGTATCTCACTTATTATTTGGAAGTAACTTATACTCGAAGTTCTGACAGTGTTCTTCATGTGATGGTGGACATCTTGTGACACTGACACGTCGTCTTGCAACTGTTAAGACACGATGTACACTTGTAATAATGTCTTAACTCTATCTGCTATTGAAAAGTTGCGCCCCCACACCCACACCTGTCCCCTGCCACCACGTTTAGTTAGAATTTCTTGAAACACTGTACATTTACAAGCAAAAAGACAGTATATATGATGTCTCCCTCTGTGTGTGTGTGTGTGATTCACTGGAAGCCTTTACAGTCAGAATTATAATCACTCTATATCACCCACTCTATACCGGAAAGATGTAAATTTTACGCTTTATTTATACACCAAGTAATTTCACTAAACAGGAAACAGTCTTATTTACGCAGGGGAAATACTCCTTCACCGGTAAACAAAGACGTCTAGCTGAGGCAAAAGTTCCATAATATGACCCAGTCCCTCAAGTGGCCATGTTGAGCACCAGCAGCGTGCAACATGATAGTGAGTAATGAGGCGGTAATCACGCGATGGAGGCGCCTTTCCTCCCACTCACACCGACCTGCCTCTCCCCTTTACAGAAACAACCAAGACTTTTTTCAACTGTGTATAAAAACCCCGATCTTGGGGTCTAAGATACAAAAATGGTTGAATCATCACGTGTACGTGCTAAAATGCTTGAATCTTAGATGTGAATGCAATACAATACTGCATTGAGCAGAGCCGCCCCCGGTCGCGGAACCAGCCTCGAGCAAGGCAAATATACGCGGTCGAGTCATGCTCCAGCAGCGCCCCAGCTCAACTACCACAGCTTTAAACTCCAGGCGGCAGTTAAATTCACAGCTTCTGAGCAAAGCATATACGTTATAAAAAAAAAACACTCCAGGCCAAGATGCATTCTGCCACAGTTTCTAAAATGTGAACACAATGCTTAAATCATTTCACCCAAGATACCCCTTCTTTCTTTCTTAACCAGTAAGTGTGGCTGTTTCTGTTATCAACAACGACTATACTAAATATTGTCACCTACGAGCAAATACAACGCATGTGACTCAGACCGTCTCACAAACAATGGGAATGTCCCCAAAGATTATATGCACTCACCAACAGACGTCTTGGTCCTCACTCTTGCTACGGTTACCTTACTCACACCATCTCTGAGCACGAGGTAACAACACTGTCTTACCTGCGAATGAAAGAAAAAAGGTGAGAATACCACATAAGACTAAACACAGTAACTGTTCAGAATAAAATAACAAATTAGTACGTTATCCTAAATGCCAATACAGAAGAACAAAAAACACAAACTGGTCACACAAGGACCTACTTAGTCTCACAATTATCAGTAAGTAACGTGTAATAAGTTCCTCAACGCACGCAAGTCCCCTGCGTGGGAACTGTAGTGAAGGTCATTTCTGGCGGAGGAGGGATGTCATCTCACCTCCTAACAACTCACAATACGCCTTTAAAACAGACACTCAACACATCTGGGGATTTTTGACACCGCTAGGCCGCTGAATCGTAAAATACAGGACATGGTTATAAATAAGACATGCTGAAAACTGACCCACCTGGAATACTGTGTTGTTGGTGTTGGTAAGGTGAGGACACAAGCCAGCTACCCGGACACTACAGGTAAATGCGGCCAGATGAAGGAGATTCTCCCTACAGTCCTTCCCACACCTTGATCGATCTACGCCCATTGATCAACTGACCAATGATGACGACAATAATGGGCTGACTATTAACGACCCCATCATTACTATGTCTAGCAATGAGATGTCATCTTTTGGGACGTTGTGGTGCCGTCAGAGAGTCACTTGTCCTAGTTAGAATGTTATCGAGGTTGTGTCTACTAGTTGTGACTCCCATAATGGTGCGTCTACCTGGTGAGACGTCATCACGGGAACACACCTGGTCACATGGGCGGGGACGGGCGGGGCAGACCAGCCCACACTCTCGTATATTAAACACATCCCACGTCCACTACATCATCCTGATTATTTACGCTCACGCGGTCATCCTTCACGCCCAGCCTCCTAGACTAGCCAGTATGGTTCACTAACCTAATCTTAATGTTCTTTTCCTGTTGCTCCGTCTAAAATATACCTGTATAATTACCATTCGATTAGTCTCCCCAAAATCGTTTATAACTATTAATGTCATTAGTTTATGGCCCTTATTATCCTTTCCTATGTAATTATCCGATTAATGCAATTTGTCGACGTGTATCTGCTTTCGTATTTTTAAATCCACCTTCTTATATCTCAGGTGTTCGTAACCTTACTCTTGTTACCGTAGAGGTTGTGGGTGTTGTACCTCAGGCGTCGTCCACGTGAACACGTTGACAAGAGGTCCTTTATACTGTTGAGGAGGCTCGCTCGGTGTAGCCAATGAGTGTGTTTTAAATATATTAATCGACCCTAATATTCCCCCAATATATAAGGACAGAATGAAAAATACGACTTCTGAGGGGATATATAATTCATCGTATGATAATATTTACAAAAGTGTATATATGAATAAATTATCTTTCATTATTTCTCCAATATGCTAACGCGCCATTATGACCATAATTTATTGGAGGAAATTTAGAGTCAACAGTAAAGAGCCTCTCGACGTCAATATAGGCACGGCGTAAGGTGGAAATTCCGGTTACGCTGAAAATTGAAATCATTATTCACGAGGTAGCGCCGTGTACTTTACCTGCTAACGGGAGACAGTTACCCTCTCCTCCCTTAAATGAATCACGTGAATAATGACTGGACCATTACATTGTAAACACGACCACCCGGGCCACAACAACCACGGCGTATATCTTAACATCATCAATATGGCCACATGAATGACTCACACACACACACACAGTCACAGTGCCACTACCACAAGAGGCAGCCAAGCAGGTGAAAGGCATACAAGCCTCTGTGGTTCCACGTATCTTCGGACGATCACTGGGATTTAGTCTACGGCGTCTTTGTTGACTGTACTGTACACACCGGCACGGCCTGGTAATGTTTCCTCCAACACCAGCTACTGCAGGTCTTCAGCAGCTTGTGTTCTGCAGTTAACTCTGTGTTTATGTTACACCCTCAGCCATCTAGCGGTGGGTAGGTATAATCACTTCTTGGCACCATTAAAAAAATCAACGCTCCTTTGCACATTTAAGTGACTTTTTTCTTTTGGTCAAACGTGATTTCTGAATACTTGATGAAAGTCACCAACTGCATTATTTATTTTTCCACTAACTTGTTTAAGAATAATTACAATCAATTTGCCCTGGAGTAGGAAATCGCCCCAACACGAGTGCCACATATCACAAACTTTGCCTGCCAGTCCTTAGCTGTAACATCGGGTATATGACATTATATTGCAGCATCTAGAACACATATAGATTTAATAGTTAGTGTTGTCATGTAGTGGTACCCACATCTCCGTCATAAATGAGAAGACTGATCAGGGTTATGTAATAGGTTTAAAATTCGATATTGATCTTCAATTTTCGATTTCCAGGATCTGGTCTTCATGTCGGCAACACATCATTGAGATCCTTCCAGGTCGGCTGGAGATTTCCTTGTAAAGAGTTTTGTCTGCAGAGAAACACCGTTCAGATACGCAAACTGCTCCATTAACTTCAGCTGTGACTCCTGGCCGTGGTGTGGATATACAGTAACACCCCCTACCCCCAGTGTGTGTGTGTGTGTGCCACCCGGGTCTTGATGATGATGACCCTCAAGCAGGTTGTGGAGGTTACAACCGTGAAGTAATCCAGGAAGTAAAGTAAACCTGTGGGAGAGTCACTGCTTCACCAGCCAGGCCACACCACTACCTCACCAGCCGGCCCACACAACCACATCACCAGCCAGGCCACACCACTACCTCACCAACCGGGCCACACCACCAACCGGGTCACCAAAACACCAAATAAGCATCACATCAAGGGAAAGGTCACCTCACTCTTACTGGACACGGAGATACACACGTCACTTAAAGGATGCCAAGACGGAGGTTCTCACAAGGCATCCTGCACACACACACACACACACACACACACACACACACACACACACACACACACACACAGGAAATACACCATTACTAAGATTTCTCTACTGTCTATGTGTACATAAAAACTTACTTTATATATTATTAGTACTTAGTTTGTTTTATACTACTTGTTCATTTCGAGGAACAGACACACATATAGTAAAAACTGGTTATGAATTAATGATACGGTCCTAATTAAAGCAAAATTGGCCAGCTGCAGAAAAATTTATGAAATGTGATTTTTTGTTTAAATGAAAAAATATACAGTGTGCAGTTTTTTTTTTTAAGGGCGAGGCCAGAGGACCCAGAGATAACACAAGTGTAATAACGCAATTCAGAAGCCAACACACGCAAAGGTCAGCTGAGAGGATAGGCGTCCACGACTCCCTGTACTGTGTGTGTGTGTGTGTGTGTTACTCCCACCGAACCACACAAGTTTACATTTCACACCGAGGTACAACCAAACTCACTCATGTCTACAGAACCCACATAAAAACTTACACCCATACACATATACACACGCCCACACCTATACAACCCACGCCCACATTCACCCACACATGTAACAATAACTCATCCATTCTCTTCTCAGGTTTTCACTCACAATTCTGTACCAAGTTGTTACATTACATGAAATTCAAGAAACTACACAACATTACATAACAGATTCTCTCCCTAAAACACCAGTAAGTTTCCTCCGTCCTTCAGAAATAAATGCCTTATATTAAACCATCAATCTAAAATACAGTAATCAATATCAAGGGTTCGAATCCTCCTCCAGTACGTGATTATTAAGTACTTGGGTTGGGTTAAGACGATCAAATAACTGGCTTTAAACTATTGATTTTCTTAAGATTAAAATAAAATGTTTCACTTCCATAGTTTACATAATATAACTCTTCATTATGACGGCTAAAATCCCACTCTATATATACGAGTATACTGTATGGCCGGGAGGTAAGTGTACAGTCAACTAAATAATTGTATTTTCCAACTTGAATTTTTTTTTAAGCTGTTTATTTCAGTCTCTTATTGTAGTAATGTATTTAGGTTTCACTTTTTAGTATCGTTGAGCCCAGGACGTGAAGTGTAAGTCAATACAATAAAAAACAGCCTTCAAGTACGATCACACTTTTCTCTCTGTCACATGAAACCAAGATTTCCTCAGTATTCAATAATCCTCGTATCTGCCATCTTTAAATCTGAAGTAATAACAACAATACGCAACTAAATAAAAAAAAAAATTATTCAAGATCTTTTAGTTTTCCAAATAACAGTAATACTTGTACGAGCCATCCATCACAACTCCGGGTGATATCCATAGCATGGTAGAGGCAGGCCAGCGTGTTAGTTGGGTGTGGGGGAAAGGGGGGCAGATTCTCCTTATAATTCGGTGTTTCGCAAGGAGGAGGGTGGGTAGTGCCAGGAGCGGTGGGCTTCCCAGGCCGGCGGGCAGTAACTATCATGCTATGGTCGGAGATTCAGCCCTTAAATTTTCTTTTGATCTCCTACTTCAATCATTCATCTTTTTTTCTTTTAACAGATCATATATGTGAAATTTGGGAGGAGCAAGAGAAACAAATTGATGATGGGGTAAGAATAAAGATTTGGAGGAGGAGGTGGGGGAAGAGACACTTGAAGGAGGAGATGTAAGAGAGGCATGGAGGAGAAGGATGAGGAGGAACGTGTGGAGAAGAGAGGAATAATGCTGGGGACGGCGGGTATCCTCAAGGTAGTAATTTCATTAAGTAATTTTTGTAAATTGACGATGAATAAAGTATAATTAAAATAACATTAACAAGGATATTATGTAAACCTTCTTCATAATATATACAATATGTAGAGTGAAGTTGTTCCTTTGTACAGTTCACTAACACCTGAGACATTAACCAGTAAACTATACAAGGAAACACAAACGTAAGTAAAGTTAAAGCTTCAGGTTACAGATCTTCGTAGACTAGTATTTATCTATAACTGAACTTAATCATTTAACTTTGCATAAATTTTTAAAGGTAAAAAAGATCGAGGCATTACAGTTGTTCAGTTCTCGATGCAGTGAGACGTTGAATCGAATCTGTGCACTAAAATTTAAGTTTCGTTTGTAAAAAAAAAATATTACAAGGAAATCATTTTGAAATGTAA